CCCGGGTCTCCGCGAGAAATCGCTCCTACGAGAGCGCTAAACTGCCCCACTTTTTGCTATCTTTCTCGCCCGGCTCCCCCGGCGTTACCTAATCTGTAACGCGTCGAATGCGGAATGGATCGAGCATTGGGCCGTCTGTGAGGCGGGGAACAAACTGCCCGAGTAGAAGAATTAATAGGGCTCCGGTGAGGGCCTGATTATTTTCCCCTGACATTAATCGGGCCCTAGTAGGGATAAAAAGACAAGGGCCCTGCAAGATGTGTAATAAATGGTTTAACGGGTTCTTACAAAGCAATATTATGAGGGCCTTATGAGGAAATATCAACAGCGCTTCATAAGGCAATATTAATAGGCCCTTATAAAGAAATATGTTTATTATTGCTTGAATAAAAATATTCGTTCTTTTCATTCTAAGAAATTTAGACTGTAATTTCTTTATTTCTTTATAAACTTGTTGGTATACAATAAGAATTTTTTCATTTTGAAAATGTAGCACACTTTATAATATATATATAAAATATAGCATTCTTTACACATAAAAATCCTGCTACTGTTTTTATTAAAGTTTGCTGCATTTCAAAACGAAGACAAGAACTAGAAAAATCCTTGGAAGAGACTAATGAATATGGCAACTGATAAAACTAAGAAAATTTGTTTTTAATTGCGACATAATTGAAAAATCTTTAAAAAAACCAGATAGAGAGTGTACCTACTAAAACAATACTAAACTATAACAATTTTACTACACACTTTATATCTTATTAATTTTCTATAACAAAACTTGATTTTGTACATCTAAAACATCCTTAGAAGATCCTTCTAAGGCTCCCATCAGTTCTCCACGTTAAGGCGTTATTTTGTAAAGTCAAAGGCATCCCTAATAGATCCTTTTAAGGCCCTTATCTTTCCCTATGAGAGCCTTATTTGTTAGATCTAAGACATCTCTAAAAAATCCTTCTAAGGTCCTCAGCAATTTTCCTTACCAAAGACTTATTTCGTAAAATCTAATTATCCCTAAAAAATCCATTTTAGGATCTGATGTGATAATAATAAGGCATCCCTTTTTAGGGCATCCTGCTTTCTTCAGCTTTATCGGGGCCTTATGCTTCATGAGAATCCTAACAATTTTTTGCTCGGATCCTTCTTAATGGTCAATCGCGCAATCTCCGACGATGCGTCAGTAACAAAAGCTCGCCGGATTACGGAGATAGAGAGCGGAATCCAGCCGCGATACGTGATTCCGCTAAAAATTATGCCGTAATCGACCATTTCTCGCCGCCTGAATTTCCCGAGCTCGCATTTTCCTCTCTCTCTCTCTCTCTCTCTCTCTCTCTCTCTCTCTCTCTCTCTCTCTCTCTCTCTCTCTCTCTGTCTCTCCTCTCTCGTGCTTTTATCTCGTCCAATTAAACCGTGTGATATCGCGTAAAAAAAAAGCTTGCACCATCACCCTTCCGCCGCTGCGAAAATATCATCTTTCGGGTGATCGTTATCCCCCCTTCCCCCCATCGCGGCCTTCATCGAAAATTTCGTCCTTCAGCTTTCGAGGTTTTGCGATGGGAATTGCGTTGCTCGGCCCCTCCGATTCGGCACGACGCTTCCGAACGTGTTTCGACGAACTTTTCAGGTGCTTCCGAGATGGCCGGGAAACGATTAATTAATTCTCGTCATCATTTAGCGTGCACGCGCGCGATTGTTCGACGGGCGCGAGGACCGGCCGCGCGAATCCAGGCAAGTGTGAATTTTTCAAAACAGCTCGCGAGTCCAATTATAAATTAACATCCGCTTAGTTCAGCCGCTTCCTCGCCGCCGCGTTTCGCGCTAAACCGATAGAGAAATGGCCATTTTCACCGAGGCCTCGCGAATGTCCGTCCACGTTTCGGCCCCGGCGAAACGAGGGCGCTCTCTTCGAGCGCATCAGCGGAAATGTTTCTCGTTTGAATGATTGAAAGGAGGCATTTCGCCGATAAAATCGGCGAATATTCAGCGATCATTCCCCGGCGGGGAAAATCACGGTAAATGTTCGCGGGAATACAAACACCGCCGCTGCGCGCCGAGAAAAAAATATTCGACGTTTTCGCAACTATAGGCGCATAGTTGCAAAGGCGGAACCATTTCCGCGGCGAGTGTCGCTGTAATATTAACGACATTAACACGCTGTACACCATAACTGCCACATTCTCGTTGGAAAGCTGAGGCCAAAGATGGCTGTAATTCTGGAAACGTCCCAACTATACCTCTGCCTATGCGATTTCTTTCTGCAAAATCTAAAGTACGCGAGAGTAACGCTGCAACTTGCAGCGAATTCGAGAGTTTCTGCGTTTGAATTAATGTCTTCCAACGCGCGCCTCGCATGCGATGACACAATTTCACATCTGCTCGTTTGCAAAGTCTGCAGCTCGACAACGGGGACGGTCGGCGGATTATTAACCGATGCTCTCTCAGCGAGATTTCAGTGATCGCAACGCTATACTTGCGACAAAACCATCAATTGCGGGCGAAACGTCCCGGTGAAAACACACCGGGGAGGAGAAATCTGTCAGACTAACGTGGCGATAAACGAATGAAACTTGCAGTTTTTCAATTCACACGCGGGGAAAAATGTTCGCCCCGGATGAGAGGATTTTCCGCTGAAATTCCAACGATTCGGAGATTCCGACTCGAGCTGTCAGAATTCAGTCTAAATTAAACCAAGATTTCCCGTCAACTCAGACAAACTTCTCAATACTCTCCGTCAGGAATCTCCCGGAATTGTTCGTGTTTCGATAGAAAACCGCATCAGCCAAGGAAATATCCTTCTCCGTGTTGTCCGATCCAAAATCTAATCTATTAGGAGTGTGATTTAGTTTTGAGCGCTTTTTTTCCAAAAATTGACTTACTTAACCCTTTGCGGACGAATTTTTCCTTAACTCCAATTCCCAGCAAGTCGAGCATATTCTCTATACAAAACAAAATTATACATAAAGACTTAAATATTGGAATAAAAAGATAAAGAAAAATATATATTGCTTTATGAAAATCTTCGCGAATAACTTCGCGATGCCGCTTAAAGCATCGCACGGCTTTCTGAGGAGTACAGATGTAGCGATGACTATAGTCATCTCACGGACTTAGCAGGTTAAATAAGATAATGAACGAATACTTTGATTAAAATATTTTCCTACGTTTTCTACAACCTATTCCCATCTTTCTGGCAAGAGATGGATTCCGCGGCGATAAAAAGATTCTTTTTTGGAGTTGATCCAATTTTCCACAAATTTTCGCACTTGTGTGAAGTTATGAAAGTGGGTATTTTCTAGAGCATGTTGCATCGACCGGAACAGGTAGATGCAATAATCGGATGGAGCAATGTCTGGAAAATACGCGGGGTGCGGTAAGACTTGTCATTCCAGCTCCAATAGCGTTTGCTTCACTGACGACGCAACATGAGGTTGAGCATTGTCGTGAAGAAGGATCACTTTGCGTCGTTTACTCGCAATTGGCGATCGTTTTTCGTCCAATGCTCGCTTCAATTTGTATAATTGTTATCGGTAACGATCAGCGATGACAGTTTCATTCGGATTTAACAGTTCATAGTACACGACACCTTCTCGATCCCACCAAATACACATTAATACCTTTGGACCGTAAAGATTGCGCCTCGAAGTGAATGTTGCTGGATCAAGCCACGATTCTTTTCGTTTGGGATTATCAAAATAGATCCATTTTTCATCTCCACTAACAATTCGATATTCGATAAAATTCTTCATTTTCTGTCTGGCGATCAACGAAATGCAAATGTTCAACCGATTCGCAATGGCATTTTCCGATAATTGATGTGGAACCCATTTGCCTTCTCTGTGAATCTTCCCCATATCATATAAATGTTTAATAACTGTTACGATCAACATTTAATGCTCTGGCAAATTCTGAAGTGGATTGCGCTGGATTTTCGTTCCAATAATGCTCGCGAATCTGCATTTTCAAGCTTTTTCGGTTGTCCCATGCGATCTTTGTCGTTAACATTGAAATCACTACTTTTGAATCATCTAAACCAATATTCACATGTCTTGATCGATGGAGGCAACATTATCACAAGTTTCAGAATTCTATGACCTTTAGCCACCGTTTTCTTCCGATTGAAAAACAAAAGCAACACATGTCGAAAATGTTCTCTAAGAAGCTTCATTTTTAGGATGATATTAACACGTTTATTGTTAGTAAATGACGAAATATCGTGGATTAATATTAGAGTATTAAGAAATCATAGAAACCATCTGATTGAAATGTCTCCAACAAAACTGACATTAGTGCCATCTCTCGCAAAACCCTCAAACCTAAATCACACTCCTAATACATCTAATTTAGACTTAGACACCAGAAAGAACTCAAGAAATTCACTTCCCCCCAAGCAAATCGCGCCGTTTACCGCCGTTAATCCCAAGCGAGCCAATCCCCCTCCTCCACACACAGAAAACTATTCGGTTGGTACAACTGAATTTCAGTTACGACAAGCAAAATCTTCCGTTCCTCGGGAATCAGCTGAAAATTTCGTTGCAATACGAGAGAAATTCCGTTAGAAGGTTTCTGTTGTCTCAAAAGAGATATACTCGATCACGTGAATCGAACATTAATGTCGTCAAGGGTACAAGTTTTGTTCTTCAAGGAAGATAAACGAAGCGTCCCTGTGCGTGTAAGTGGAGGGGGAAGACACTCGCGCGTCTTGAAAATCGCATCATCGGCAGCGTCATTTTCGTTCGCTGAGATTTCGTTTCTCCTCATGTACGATATAGTTGCGCGCCTTCTGCGAGAATAACCGAATATTCCGCCGCGGTAACTATATTTTCGAGACGGAGAAAATTTCAGTTCCTTCGATCGAAGGCAGTTGTTGTGACGTGAACGGTCCTTCGGTTTACCAAACAGAATTTTCCGTTACTGCGAGTGAACTTGACGTAACAGAAAATCTCTAGTTGTCGCTACGGGCGATCTACCTCCCCCTACCGCGTGATTGCGCAAGTACTCACCGCAGATTAGAGACCACCACTGCGTATTCGCCGCCGATCTGGACGAGACCCGTGTTCTGCAGAATTAGGCCGGTGACGAGCATGCCGATCAAAGCCGGCAAGGTGGTGAGTGAGATGAGCCAACCTCCAAAGTGCGCGGCGATGCAGAGGGAGGCCAGGCCGAAGAGCGGACCGCCCGGTGCCGCGTCGTCGCCGATGACCGAGTAGGCAACCCCCCACAGCAACAGGCCGAGCAGGAAGAGGCAAAGGATCCGCGCAAACTTCCGGTAGGTCGGGCAGAACGGCTGCGGGCAGGCCTTCCGCCAGCCCTTCGGCTCCCAGGACGGCGTGTCGTCGCGGCCATGGCATCGCGCGCAGAATAGGTACAGCCACGACCTGGAGGCCATCGGTGCCAAGAGAGACAGAGAAAATGATACGGAAGAGAGAGAGACAGCGAGGAGAGAGAGAGAGAGAGAGAGAGAGAGAGAGAGAGAGAGAGAGAGAGAGAGAGAGAGAGAGAGAAAGCCCTTATTCCGAAATCGGTTTCAGAAACCTAGTTTTAGTTTTAAGGTTGGTAGGCTTTAACCTCTGAACACTGGGATGTTTAAGGTTAGGTTAGGGCTAAGGTGAATTTTCACCTATAATTTTCATTTCATTATTTTTTAAGCGCACATAAAAATATTTGGTAAAAATATGTAGCAATGCATTTTAAACAGTTTTAAGTCATGTACAATTCTTTCAAAGGAGAAATAATAACCTTTCACTGTAAAAAAGGAAACTTTAAGTGTTAAACTAACTTGGACATGTTCCGTAATCGATCAGCTGATCAATTATCAAAATAGTAAACAAAAAAATCTTCTGATGAGTTTCTCTAGGTAATGTTACAAAATTAGTAGCTAAAGCCAAGTTTGCAAATGAAAATAGTACACGGCTGTGAACGTCCAAGCATGATCAACCGATCAATGACGGAACGCATCCAAGTTTATTCGAGGCCTACCGGCCTTAGAACTGAAATCAACATTTCCGAAATCGATTTCGGAACAGGCCCCGAGACGGAAGTTCGTCGACGCGACAGACGAACGCGAAATTAGATTGCCTCGACGAGGACCGCGTCATGCGGGGCCGCCGCCTCGCCGTGTTGCGACACAATAACAGCGCTATCTTTCTCTCTCGTTCTCTGTTTCTCGTTCTCGCTCTCGCGCCTATTTTACATGTATCGCCGTATTGGCCGTGTGATGAGCGAGCGAGCGAGCGAACGAGCTCGTGACGGATTAACGCCTGGAGCTGAGCGGCCGCGAGCGTCGAGCTGCGCGGCGGATCATTCGCGGCCGATAAAGCGGCGCGGATTTCAATAAGATGGCGGCGGCGGATTCGGCTCAGCGAGCTGCGTTAAAGCCATCATACGTAAAATTCCGTAAGGACGTAAGACGTAAACTTAAGACGCGAAACGTAAATTCCATGACACACAGTTGGCGTAGAACGCGAAGTTCAGCCAATAGCAAACGCGGAAAGATTCCCTCCTTTATATTTATAAAAATCTAACCTATAGTCTGTTTCTTGAAGCTGCACTAGTTCAGCAGTACAACTATAAAAAACATTGGCGATCGAGGCAAAGCTCGATCCCCCCTAGCCAAACATTGAAGAACAAAAAGAAGAAGCTACAAAGGACAAACTACAGCGTCAATGTAGTATTTCATCAAGCAGTAAATATGCTTCTTGCAATTGATTCAATTGCAAATTTTATATTGATATCAAATTTGTTTAGACCCACGAATATTGGAATTATTGACACTTTGATTACAAGGAGTGTTTCATGTTTAGAGATGCATCATATAGGTTATGTTTGACTAAGGTTTTTGCATTTATATTTCTTTCGATGGCAATTGATGGTGAAGAAAAAATTGACAGTCTCGGTGAGAAATGTAGGTCATGTATATCCTCGTCTTCGAGGAAATCATTATTTTCGATGTTGAACATATTACAATATTGATTTCGATCACCCACTTCATCGAGATAAATGCGCCTCTAACCTTACCTCACTAGCTTGGCTGCAAATCTTAAACTAAAGCGCACATCCCGTGATGACTTGTGATTGGCTGTCCAGAAGACACGCCGTAAGAATTTCATCCTCACGGTATTTTCCGACGTTACGTCTTATATTTTACGTCTTACGGACAAAAATGGAGGAGTTATGGAGAGCCGAATATTCCATTGGGATTGGTCGATTTCCCTATACTCTTACGTCTTATGTCCTTACGGAATTTTACGTGTGATGGCCTTTGCGCTGAGAATTTGGGATTCAGGCCGCGACGACGACGACGATGACGACGACGACGACGACGACGACGACGACGACGAGGCGAGGCTGCGGTGAGGCGGGGGCGACGGGGAGCGGTACGTCGCGGATTATACGACGTTCGCTCGCGATTGACAGAGCGATTAGCCGTGAAGTCGGCGGACTCGAGAGAGACAACTCCGTCGCTTTTCGGGACCTCCTAGCGCGCAGTAAGAGTAGACGAACGTAAGAAGCGCTTGGAATTCCTGCGCGTAGATAGCCGCTATCGAGGAGACGATGGTGGGCACAAAGTAGGGTACATTAAGAAGTTGAATGTCTCGTTACCGACGCAAATAATCTTAACGACCACACGCCGATTGCGCTTCGCGACAGCCGCGACGACGGAGTGAATCACGCGGATATCGCGCGGCCAGGAAAATAGAGACGTCGGCTGGGGAGGGTTTTTTCCTCCTCGGAGATGACCGGTGCGCCGCGGCGAGATCCGATATGGCGGAGGTTTCTCCGTCGAAAGCTCGCTTGCTCGTTCCACCGGGATGCTCCCGACAAGCAGCGAGCGACGAATTTCGCCAGTGCGAGTTCGCGCATGCGTCGGCGGGAGAAGAACAACCTGTTGTGGCGGCCAGAACGTGATTCGCGTTGTCGTCGTGGCTGCAAGGGTGCGCGATCAGCAAGGTGCGCGATTCCTCATGAGCGTGCGAATGTTTCCTTCAGGTTCCCTCGATGACCGGTCGCGTCGTCGTCTTTGCATCGTTACGCGGAACGCGATGATCGTTTGTGCGCGCAGAAGAAAATATCACGTCAAAGCGACGTGAACGGCTCGAACGCGTTCCCATCGGGGGAAGCGGAATCCCCGGGTTCCGTCGAGAAAATTTGCTTCTGCCGAGGGAAACGGAGAAACTTCGTTTCTCTTCTTTCTTTTTTTTCACGAAGCAAATATGCTTGCAACGAAGGAAACGAAGAAATGTTCGCTGGAGGAAGCAAAATTTCTGCTTCTTACATCGAACGAAGGAAACGGCGAAATTTCGTCCAAGGGGAAGCAGCCCTCGGCTTCTCGGAGGACCAGAAGAAGACCGCGTCATGGGGTCTTAAAACTTCACTCCGGAATATACTTCCTCTTTTATTTTACGAGTGAAAAGAGTCAAGCGAATGCAATGAAATGTTTTTGTTATTAGCGGATGGAGAGAGCAGGGGAGTTGTTGCTTGCAGCGGACAACTTCACGTCCAGCAAGAAGGGAAGGAAACTCGCATGGCTTGAAATTTCACCCCTGGTGGCCTACAAGAGTTAACGGAGTTCCGAGGAAACGCGGAGATTCCAACCCGGACGAGCCGAATTCGGCCGCGAGGGGGAGAAGCGCGTTTCCCGCGAGCGGTCCGCTCGTGGTCGTCACGTCGACTCAATCAATCTCGTTCGCTCCGAGAGTGTCATTATCGCGGCGCGAGCGACAAGAATTCCGAGCGCTCGTCGAAGCGGCGGCAGAGGACGGGAGAGGAGAGCGAGGTTTATCGTGCATATCGATACAGGCAGCCTTCGCGCGATCGTCTTATCGAGATAATGCGCTCTCACCTCTCGAGCTCCTCGGAATACTCGATCTTGTCGCGGATCGAGCTGGACAGGCTGTAGGCCGATTTCTTTCGGTTACCGTTGATCCGGCCGTTCTCCAGGTCGAACTTGTGCTGCGGAATGTTCTCCGCGCTGTCGCAGTGGCTGCCGCCGCCGCCGCCGCCGCCGCCGCCGACGTGGTGGAGGATCGACTTCCGCCTGCCTTGGTCGGAATTGTGCTCCGAGCTGGCGCTGATGCGCCGATGGTGCTCGAAGCCGGGATTGTCGAGGCCCATAATCTGGTCGCTGATGGACACTCGCCTCTTGGTAAGCTCGTCGCCGGCTCGGTTGGTCCTGCCGGCCATGTCGATGTCCATCTTCCGCTCCGCTCGGTCGACAAGCGAGCCTCGCCGATACGATGGCTGCGCTGACGATGGCGATGGCGACCTCCTCGCAGCCGAGGTTCTCAGGAGCGCGTGATAAGCCGCCGCCTGCGTGCGGCCCCTCTCTGGACGCGCTCGGGACTGGACTGATCCGTCGGCGCACCGGCGGCCGATTTGGCTCCGGTCTCACGATTCAACGCGATCGAGGAAAGCCGGGAAAGGCGAGGAGAGGTGAGGAGAGGAGAGGAGAGCCGCGAACGGTCGCTGAACGGAGGTACTGCGACGCTCACGCAGGGACGGTCACGCGTCCGCCACGCGTAACGTTAGCTGCGATCATTAGCGGCTCGAGGGTCTCGTGACGAGCCCGTCACGCGACGAGGGTCACCACCACGACGACGGCGACGACGACGACGACGACGACGACGACGACGTTGGCCACGTTAATGCGTTGCGACGATTGACGTATTTGACACCTTGGCCCGCTTTTACCAGACTGCTCCTCCGCGAGGTTAAGCCTCCGCGGCCGGCTCGCTCGCCGACGAGAGCTTTGTGCGCAGCTTTGTCTTGCTCGTTAGCGTGCACGTTAGCGCGCGTTAGGCTCTCAGGGTCGGCTGAAGCGTCGGCTCTCTCGTCCGAGCCTTTCCACTGGCCTTTTCCTTCTGCGCGTGTCAGCCGCCGACGGCGACGCGCTTCGCTTCGTTTCGTTTCGCTGCTCGCTCTCGGCGAGCTTCAGCAGCTCGACGCTTGGCCGACGCTCGGACGCGGGTTCGCGCGACTACGCTCGGCCTCGGCGACTGATGGCGATTGATGCGACCGCTGCATCCCGCTCGCTCGTTTTATGCTCCGACGCAGTCAAGGCTTTCGCGATAACGCGCGCCGGCGGGCGGTCCCCTTCGCTCGCGAGGAGAGTCTCGTGCCGTCGTCTCGTCGCGAGCGATAGCGCGGTTAACTAGCGACTAAAAGTGCGCGGCCAAGCGGTGCTGTTTATGCGAATGGTGGGGCTCGTAAAAAGTACCGCCGGCCGACGTGGACGAGGCACGGGCAGTCACGGGCCGTGACAATAATTGCGGCGCGATGCCGCACAGGATGGGCACAGCCGCGCGCGGCTCATTGACAAGCCGGCGACGCTCCGCTGCGGCCGCCCCCGCGATCCGCGGATCGATGCCGCGGGTCGAAC